AGAGAGTTCCTTACTCTTGTCTTGGTGATAAAGGTTGTAAGCAAATCTGGAAATAAACATCACAATCGTCACAGAGTCTGAGAAAAGCCCGATCACATTCACAATCCCGGTCTCTGTCTCAGTTGTACTTCAGCTGCTTCACTGACACGTCACAGTTACCAGTAACCTACCAGGCAAGTGTATTTTATGTACAGTCATTTAGGATTTATAGTATGTATCATATATATCTAATCATAATATGTATCATATATGTATTTACTCCTACATGAAGGATATGGAGATAACGAACAGTATTCAATTACAAAAGTCCATGAAACAATACAAAATAGAAGCAGAGCAAACATGGGCCTCCAAAACGTCTGAGATAGAGGGAGAGTAAATCAAAAATGTGCTTCATGAAAAAAAACAACATCGCATTGTATTTTTAAAAAAATCTACTATATTTCATTCACTTAACAATTTCTTGTTTGTATAATCGTGGTGGCTGGTGTTATGAATGTTTTTCATCGAAGTTGTTCTATTGATATAACCCTCGTTGTTGAGGAAGTGATTGGTGGTAGTGAAGTGGTTGTTTTAGGCATGGTGGTTGATGTTGATGGTTTTATGTGTTGAGTTGTATGCTTGATGTTTATAGCGTTGTAAGTTAGTCGTTGCTGTTGTTGTTGTTTGTGTATTAGTTTAAGTTGGTGTAGTTGTTTTCATAATTATTGCTGTTTATAGAGTTTCTGTTCGTATGGTGTTGTTGTTCCTGATAAAGTGATTGTTGGTGGTGTCGTGGTTGTTGCTGACATGGTGGCTAATATTGATGGTATTTTTATTTTTGCTAAGGTTGATATTGATCGCATTTTCGGGGTTTGTTGTTGTAATTAATTTCTTTTATCAATGTTGTTGTTGGTATAGTTGATAATTTTTTGGGGTATTGCTGTTTGTTGAATCTCTGTTAGTATGGTGCTTTGTTGTGGGTTTAATCGTTGTTCGTGTATTGTTGTTTAATGTACGTGTTGATGTGATGGTGTACAGTAGTTGTTTTTACTTGCATAGTTTTTGTGCAGTGTTTGTTGGTTTTAGAATTGTTATTGGTGTAACTTTTCTTGTTGGTGAACTTTTTCCATTGTTTATTTTATGCTGTCAATGTTTTAGTGGCTGTTTTTGGTGAAATTAATTTCTGTGAAGTGATTCATTTAAAACCTTTTCTTTTGTTGCTCTTGTTGTAGTCGTTACAGGTATTAGTGGTAGAGTTTCTGATGTCGTTGTTATGCCTCTCTGATCACACTGTTGTCCAAAATAATTTACTGAGCACGAGACCTCCAGTGTTAATCTTATCCTAGATAAGAAAAGTACGAAATATGGAGTGATAATCAGCATAAAAAGGTTCAATTAATCCACATTTTCCTTCAGTAAAAATCTGAGAAATCTAAAAATGAGTGACATTGTAGAACTGAATAAAATTTTGTTCAGTCAAAAAATTATTGATTAAACTTCTTGACTTTCACCATAAGTTTTTATCTCCGGGTGTTGTGGTGACGTTGGTCACTCGTGTAGTTGTATTCCCTCTGTGTGTGTAGTTTGTCACACCAAGACCATCATTGCCACCGATTGGATCGTAGTCGTAAGCGTGAACTAATATTTGAAAGGAGGGCTACGGACAAGATAAGAAACAAAAAGCAATTATTTGTTTAAAAGAAATCATTTGTAATTTTTCCTATCTGTATTTGAACATTTACCTGCCCTTTGATTTCCGTCCACGTGTAAACATTAGTCGTTCTCGGATGTTGGACAAATAAAAAGCTATTTGTGTAAAAAACTCGCTGGAGTGTGTCATTACCATAGCATATTTTTCTAAAACAAGCACCGAAAATTAAATCATTTAACAGAAATGAAACTATCTGTTCCAAAAATTTAAGCTTTTCTCTTTAAAAATTTTATATGTACAGACATTCGACATTCCTGGGTATGAAGTCTTGATAATCATTGTCACCCATTAATTTGGAATATTATATAAGAGGATTATTTTCTCTAATTTCATTGGCTGAAAGGACGTCACATGATATTCCTCGCAGGCTCGGTCGCTATCACTTTCTGTGTCTTCGGTCAATATCAATTGCCATGAGTCCTTATAACCACATATCGACCTACACTGAAGTCCATAATTGTATAATAACACTGAGGTCATTTTAACATGCTGAGTGTTAATGTACATTGTAAACAAATACATTTCTTAAATGAGTAAATTGAAAGAGAGAGTCACCCTTGTGTCTGAGGTGTCGTTTCCAGACATATCCCGAAATATACATCACACTCCCGTACAGATACGGACCCGAGAATCGAAACGTCACACGTACAGTCCTCGTCTCTGTTGTACTCCAGCAGAGTTACTGTGACGTCATAGTCTCCAAAGATAGTCTGTAAAAACAAGTTAAAATCACTGTACAAATATCTAAGCCAGGACATTGACAACCTAAAATATGATAAATATACAACTCTTGACTATATAAGCTCTTCATAGTCTCAAGAAACTATTCAGTCCACTGTTTTTTGTATATAAGTAGCATGCTATACAGCAACACTAAAGAATCACATTATCCGAGTCAGAAAATTCCATTTAATTTATCTAGTAGACAAATCTAAATCATGGGTATGGAGATAACGAACAGTATTACTGTATAGGGGATTAATTTCACGGGTTGTAATTTTCACGGATTTCTCTCATCGGACACGATCGCGGTTTCTTGAATTCGCGGAATTCTTATGTCATAGAAGTTACCTCCCGTGTCTATATCCGTTTAATCCATAGCAAAGCTACACGTAGTAAACGACATTTTTTATTGGTATGTCTTTATTTCACCAACAACAGGGTAAGTTAAAATGGAATAGTTAGACTTATCAAATAATTGACAATTAATTAAAACAGGTGCTATTATCAAAAGTCCTTGACAATAAACGTCAAATGAATTGTCTGTATACACTTCAAGATCTTCAAAACAACGCGGCGAAAAACCACTGGACGGTAATAAATGTGTTAATGTAGGTTGACGAAAGAATATCCTTCCACATCGTCAATAAGTTCAATATTTATTTGACAATTTTTAAAAATCAAAATGTCGATAAAAACTATAATATGCATGATAATGCAGGTAACAAATACACTGTGCGTGGTAACATTAGTTACGCACGGGTAATCAAAACTCAAGGCCCACGTGTTTTAATTGATGAAACATGTAGCGTTAGCTATTAAAAAGCCTTTTAACAAATACAGGTTATTATCTGTTGATTTGAATTAATGTAAAATGTGCTAATTAAAATAATTGAATGACAAGTACTACTCGTAGTTAGTGAAATGACCATTTACTGTCAATGGTACATGCATTTAAACCTATCGTAGTCTACCGGTATTTTCAAATTTCAAAATAAAACATTGAGATTTTTGAAAAATTATTCACTGTTTCTTGAATTCACGGATTTATTATAACCGTGAATATAGCGAATATTAACACCGCGAGTTATTTTCCCCCTATACAGTAAATCTCAAAGTCCATTAAACAATATACAAAATAAGAGCAGAGCAAACACAGACCTCCGAAACATCAGAGGTGGGATCAGGTGCCATGGAGGAGTGAGCATCCCCTGCCGACCGGTCACACCCGCCGTGTGCTCGTTGTCATGATCAGGAAATAACGGGGGAAAAAATTCGCTGTCAATTGAGTGTATGAATAATGGACTAACAATTGATATGAAAAACGTCATCTACATGTATTTCATCTGTTTTTTAATCGGATACTACGTAGAAAAAAATGACATAAAATTAATTTAATTTTATTCTGACGTCTGTCCGCTTAAATTAGACAGAAACAAAAGACAGAAAATTAAAAGATAGGAAGAAATAATGATGAGGTACAAGAAAAGTGTAAAAGTGTGATAAAAATTAAAATGCATTAAAGGAATAGTCTGTGCTATCTTCATTCAACATTGTAATTTAAGTCGGCGGACTTGAGTTTTATTGTGTAAAAACTACAATAGCGAAACTCTTCATTTTAATACCATATATATACATTAACACCAGCGTACATGCCAAGTTTTGGAAAAATCTACCCTCCAGGTATCCGTCTCAAAATACAGATACCTTTCCCATAGAATTATATAAGAAAGTGCCATTTTTAGCACTTTAAAAAGCATATAATACAAATAATGCAAAATACTTGTTGTTCGAACTATAAAATATGACGAGTAATACAATATTGAAAATTATATATAAGAAACACAAAATTCAACCGTCTTGTTACCAGAGGGGGCATCTCAAAATGCAAAAAAAAAATCAATGAATTTTCCTGTTTTTATAGAGTACTACAAAATATAACGGACACAAGAGATTTATATGAAAACATTAAAATATTGAAGATATCCTTAAATTTCTCTGTTATAAATTTCAAGAGCGTTTGTTTATACCTTCTCCTTAAATAACATTTTTATTACCCATTTCTTAAGAGTTTCAGTTTATCATAACGTCAAAAACACTCTATAACGACGTCAACCTACCAGTCAATTGCAAAATCGGTTAAAAATCAGTTATACAAAATTATAATTACATTTTTAAACTTGATTTTTCTTAAGTTTGTTTAATTTTATCAATGAAGTGAAAAAAAAGTTGCTTAAAACAGTAAGTACGCTTCATTTTACTATGATGCGTGAAATATTGCGCAATCAAAACCAAAGTCGGCCCCCTTAAGAGCATGGACCACTTAGAGTCTTTTTCGTCCTCTATATTTCTGAAAAAATCAAAACTGTTCAGTTTTAGTTGACAATACAGTATTTACCCTCTGTGGCCGTGTATATACTGAACATGAAGTAATTTTCTCTTTATTCAATGCATTATGACGTCATGCAATGTGTCATCTTCCCCATATCCTGTAAATTCTTTTTTAAAAATGACCAAAATTGTAAGCATTTTTAAAAAGTTTATTTCATTTCATAATTTATTTCATATTGGTGAGCTTGAGATAAAAGATACAAATTACAGTTTGATATTTGTGTCTCGTTTGTATTTATTTTCACGTACAGGATCTGTCTGCTTTCATTCAGAGATCGATCTAAAGGAATTTTCCGTCTACATTTTGAGTTAACTCAGGAAAAAGTAAAATCTTTCTTTCACCGAATTCAGTTTCCGTGATAGGTAATTTTAACATCTCTTTGTTATTTACATTCATCAACATTCAAAATATAGTTTTAAGTACATTAATGATAATATCCTACTGATTAGATAATTATTTAATTATTACTGAAAACAGTGTTGAAAAGGGTCTTGTTATTCTTGCATAGACACTTGTAACAGTTATCAAGTTAAGAAAATAAGTGCATCTAATCATGCTTTACAGGATTTTTTTAAATTTTATTTAGCATTACAATCAATCTACAACATTTAACTGTTATCATATTCTGTCTAAATAACAAAAATTACATGAACAAATATTATGCCTATATTAGATAAACTTTAATTTCAAATAATATTCAATTGAGTTTACAGGTATAGTTATCTAAAGCCCAAATTAAAGAAGTAATGGTAATTGTAATACATTTGCTTTACAATCTATTGGCACCAAACCTGCCATACTACTACTACCTTATATAAAATTACCTGGAAAACAAATCCTGAGAAGAAAACCATTGCAAATATCCAGGTCTTCATTTTCACTTCGCATTACTTTATTTTTCCCCGCCTCCTTTCTTAATCGAACTTCAAACGGAAGACAAGAATTTACGATTTTAATCTTCTCTCTTTTTTAAAACCATATAATATTTTTATATCTAATAAAATCGTGTGTATCTGCTTATCCTGAAGATACAACGATCATATTCAGTTGCATTATTCTTTTATATGCCAATGAAGTAAACATGTATTTTCGAGCACTAATGGGAGAATTTTACAATACTGAATATATTACACATATTTGTGTATTTCAGTCTATTTTATTGCCTTAGAAATCAAAAAGTCATATATCAAGACTGGGGTTACATCTTTTCTCTATTTATATATAATAACTGAGAGCCAGTGTACAGTACGTTTACGATTATGGGAAATTTGTCAAAATGTTAAGGCATTATTTTTGCCGTATGGTTGCAACAACTGATAGATTAATGTAATCTTTCAAACCCCGAATGTGTTGAGTTGTTTTAACAATACACATAGAAGTGAGCGTAGTAAATGACATTGATTATATACAGTAGACCAAAACATACATGTCTCTTTTGATGAGGTTTTGCATAAAATCAATAAACAATTTATCACTCTAAAAATTTTCATCACATCACATCTTTGCTCAGTTCCCTTGAAGTTTTTGAATGAGCCATCTGATGTTTTTGGAGGTTCCTGTTTGCTCTGCTTCTATTTTGTATTATTTTATGGACTTTGAGATTGCTCGTTATCTCCATATCCTTCTTCTGAAGAAGCTAAAGCGTCCATATTGAGATTCTTAAACAAAAAGAGGTTCTTGAAGCCATCACGTGTGTCAATCTGATTAAAATAAAATCTTTGTTACGCTCTGAAATTCTGATGGTCGCTGTGCAAAGCGACTACCAAAATTTCGAAGCGTAGCAAAGACCTGATTTTAAGGACGATGGCTCTTGTCATCAAACGTATTGAGAATGTTTTGTCAAGTATATTTTTAGAATCTACACATATCTTAATACAAAATTAAAAGAAAAAAGGGGCAAATAAATTAGCACTAAGGAGCAATTAATTTGTAATTATGTCTGACACATAAAGTTTTTTTTTACTGCTACGTCTTTTGAACGACCTTCACCCTGCATATAGAGGAGTTACGTTTATCAACTTATCGGATACACAGAAGCACACTCTGCTTGTTTTAAGGCATAGTCTTGGTCCAATTGTGCAAGACAATACGACAGAAAAGAGAGAATGGCTTGAATAAAGATAAAGGGCAGTCAGAATAAACTTACATTAAAAAAACAAACAAGCATACGGAAGTATAAATTGCAAACACGTAAATCATTTTGAAAATTATTTATCTTTATAATCTGTCGTCCGTGTCCTTCTAATTTTGGATTAAAATAGCTGTGAAGATGTATTAAATAATGAAAAAAGATGATCGAAAGAAAGATCTGAAACGCCGAAGAATGTTTGTAAAATACGTAACGTAACATCCTCAAATCAGAAAAAAATACTTTAAAAACTTTTAAAACAAGATGGAGGAGATTAAAGAAGGAAGGAAAGTGTCCTAAAACGTGATGTAAAACAAAAACCTGTGCTAAAAATACAGAGAAAGTAAAATCAAAAATATGTGTTTGATTAAACAAAAATTCAGAATTTTTACTTTTTGTAAAAATAATTGGAAAACTCCCTGCTAATGTACTAATGTACTTATTCTCTTGTTTTTAATGAAACTGTTTTTTGCTAGAATATTAATATTTTGTTTAAACTATTGAAGAATTTGTCTTCAACGTTGATATCAGGTATAAAATCACTATAATCTGTCAGACAGATCGACATGCTGATGGAGTTTTTATTGTGAAAAGTCAGTGTTTAAATCCTAAACAACTCCACTTCAAATTTCCTTCAGAATTCGTCAAGTTATTCAAGTTATGGCTTGAAACATTTAACTTTTAAATTTATATGGATACGTCCAGGTTTTGACGTACTTCTGTTTGAAGTATTGTTTTGATTTGGTTTAGTGTTACACGTTGTAGGTAAAGTTGTAGAGTATTCTATCGTTTATTAAGAAACCCAGTAGAAATCTTCATACATGACAAGATCATATGAAACAGAAATAATTCATTAAGCATTAAATAATTGAATGATTCAAAATCAAATAGATTTATTAAAAGCCTTGTATTTGTCGAACCCATACAGGAGATGTATTAACTGTCTAAAGACAAAACAACGAGGCAGCGGACACAGCGACAACTAAATGTAGCCACTTCTCTATTGGAGTATTCACACTTTCTTGTCCACTTGAAACATCCAGGGATAACTTTATCCTTTAGGAGAAAAAAAGAATTTAAACCTGATTTTTTAGGTATATAGATAGATAATCATTTTTTTTCAATCCAGTCTCCTATATATATAGTACTAGTATTTGAATTTTATTTATCTATGAATTACTTATAACTTTCTCTTGATCATATGACTGAGTAATATTGTAAAACATATTGGATGCTTTTATCAATAACAAGGAATCAGTCCATTTCCTCTTACCGTAATTTTTTACTCCCGGGATTCGTTGTGACAGTCAGTTTCTGTGTTGTGTAATCTCTGTACTCGTATGTTGTTACCCCAAGTTCATCATCAGATGAAAAGTCGTCAAAGTCAAAGGCATGGACTGATATATCAAACGATGGCTGTGTACAAGAAGCAATACCTAGCATTAAATTATTGACGACTTAATATCATCTACAATTTTAATGCACATTAATGTACATTTACCTGTCCTATGATGTCTTTCCACGTGTATAAATCAGCAGATTTCAGAGAGTCGGCGAACAAAAAGTTGTGTGTGTTTCTAACTCTCTGGTTTCGATTTTTGCCATAGCACTTCTGACTGAAGAAATTACAAGAAGAAATCGGATCAAAAACTTTCAACTTTTCATTAGGAGTTTCTTTTATCTACCACCTAGAATCATGAGAATGGTTATTTGTAGTATGTATCGATAATTACTCCTTCAATCATTCATGAGTGTCATTATAATCATAAAATAAGATATATTTAAAGCAAATCCGGTCCGTTAGAGAGAGAGAGAGAGAGAGAGAGAGATCCTTACTATTGTTTTGGTTGTAATGGTTTCAAGCAGATCTGGAAATAAACGTCACACTCCCCGGCACACCCAATAACCGTATCACAGCAATTGTCTGGGTCTCTGTAATACTCCAATAACTTTACAGACACGTCATAGCCTCCATTAACCTATTATATACAACCAATGTAGGAAACAAGATCATAATATTTACAATACTTATTAAACTAACTAGACGTTCAAGATGAGCAGATAAAGTCATCATTGTTAAGTGAAAATAAATTTATTTTTAAAGTCTTGTTTATATGAATAAAACTATAGACGACAGGACAGAGAAACTATGAAAAAGGAGACCCGAGGTTTTCAACGTTTAAGGAAAACTACAGATCAACAGGCAGTCATTTAACTTTTGTTTTTGCAATATTTAGACAGTTTTTATCGTTCCTGAATAAATAATTGGAAAAAAAAGATGATCCAAAGAAAGATAATGATACGCAAAAAATTTTTCTATAATACATAACATCCTCAAATCAGAAAAAAATACTTTAGAAACTGATGTAAGGACGATTTTTGAAAGAGATCAAGAGATCAAGATTGAGGAGATTAATGAAGGAAGAAAAAATATGTCCCCAAAAAGTTATGTAAAAAGACAGTATTAAAATTAAAGAGAAAAAAAATCATAAATCTGTATTTGACTAAATAAGAAAGTCAGAAAGAATGGGTGGACTTAATTGGCCAGAAAAAAATGCCGTAAATTCATAAAATGTTTATTTTTTTTCCCATAATATTAACCCCCGATATCTTGACCGTGTATTCATGGTACGGATGTGAATTTAAAGCGCTCTTTTCAGGGTAAACTTAATAAATATCGAAGGCATGGTACCTGAAGATTTCTTGAATATCAATAGATAATAAGGGTCACACATTTTCATCGTCTGAATACATAGTCAGCACATGTTTGTCGGCTGTTCTTAAGAAAACTGTAGTTGTATATTGAACAAAATAATGTTATATTAAAAGGAGAAGAGCCGATAAACGTGTGCTAATTTAACAAAAAAAAAGTTCCGAACAAAATTCTTGCTTCCATTGTTATGTCTTCGATTGACCTGTTAAATATTACAATTCATCACGTGATGTCCACCTGCGAGTGTACTCATGAAAACATTGTATTCTTCAACCTGACCTCGATCTAAATCATGTCTTTGAGCGTGTTTTGTTGCCATATTCAGAATTTGGCAAATTAAATATTGTTTTAATTTTGTGTGTCATCACATTTTTAAAATAATTTCATATTGACATCGCTGTAATATGCTAAACACGTATTCGAATTTTTGGAGAGATAGAGAGGGATAGAGAGAGAGATGTCAACAATGACGCCGATCGATAGCCCCGCCTCCTGTAAATATTGATTGTGTGACATAAAAACCACTCCGGGTACATTTCGAATTCCGGAAAACAACACTTATGTATCGTTGCTTCAATTTTGATACATGACAACATGGCATTGTTTTTGCATAAATGTTCCACCTAATATAACCATGTATATGTAGCCCTTTCCATTGCTCGTTAAATATTTTGGATTAACTTCATTTACAGCTTGGTAGAGGAGTCGCAAAAAGATCCAAAATAGGGCGTTAAGTCCACCCATTCTTTGACAGTTTATTATAATGTTCGGAAAATACGATGATAATTATGTACTTAAATTTTTCAGTCAAAAATGGTTGATTTTCTGCTAGAATATTAATAATGGGAACCATTTACCTCCAAAGACAGTATGGATATGTCCATGTTTTGAAATACTTCCGTTTGAAATACTAGTATTGCTTTGATTTGGTTGAGTATTTATTGGCAAGTTTTGTGGAAACTGTTAAAAGAACTCTCCCATGTTATATAATACAAGTTTTCACACGCTGACAGAACTTCAAAGCGTTAATTAATGTTTAAACTATTGCAGAAAAGGAGTTTTATGCCTTATTTCATCGCGTTCATTTATGGTATACAGTACTTCTTTGTTTGTTTTTTTTCTACCCCAATTGCTTTCTTTTCTCAGTTTTGGCTTACATTGATATAGAAAACGTTCATAATTTTCATATACATAAGCATTTTTGTTTAGAAAATTCTTCAATTATACAGGTAAATACAAAATAAATCATTTGTATAATGATATACAGGAATAAATAGTAATTTATTGGCATAATACTCGTACTCGAGCAAATGCTAGCTTTTTTAACACAAATAGTTTGACTTTTACTATTAGTTGAATATTATTCATTCATTTTATTTTTTCCTATTCACAATGATTCTATTTGATAATATTTTTTGAAAAGAGCTCATATTATGTTTAAACATGCATTTTTATTTTAAACTTTTAAAAATGCAAAATAATTATGCTCAATTCACTTCATATATAAACATTTATATCGCCTAATGTTTACCTGAGAAACAAAGCTAGTTAAGAGGGAAAATATTACAAAAATCCAGGCCTTCATCCTTCTACTGTTTTGCGGAAGTTATTCTAGGTAAACCGTACAAAGCCAGGCTTCTTACTAAGACAGGATTTCTTACAATTTTCCTTTTATCCAATTTTTCAGTTTTTTGAGGAAGTTTTTAGGAAAGTTTTTTTTAAGGATGAAATCGCACTCTAGAATGGAAGTGCGATCTGTAATTTATAAATACCACCCTGCAAATAAATTTCCGTAGAGTGTGCATCGGTAAAGATCCTCTAATAATACAAATGACCAAATAAGTGTCTATCTTCTATTCTCAATGACCATGTAGTGTGGGGCGGCATCCACTGCCAAATGGGCAAGCCGAGAGTGTGTTCCATGTCACGAGCGATAAAGGAAAACAAATCCGTAGAATTTCAGTGTCGAAAGAATTACCTGAAAATTAGTATGAAAAACGAAAGTCGGCATCAGACTATTGATGGGTTGTATTTGCCATGAATCGACCACAGAACTTGTAAAATGATGACAATAAGCGAGACTGATGATATTCTTGTATCATCAAATTGATTTTCAATAACCTACCTCGCTTAAGAAATTGCTTGTACGTAGAGCATGCTTTTGCCTATTAACAGATATATATATATATATATATATATATATATATATATATATATATATATATATATATATATATATATATATATATATATATATATATATGTGTTAAGGGTATTTTGTATGCCGAGTCTGCCGCTGCCCTACACTACACAGTCATTGACGAGATACAGTTATTTGGACATTAGTTTTAACAGAGGATTGTTACCAATACATGTTGATAACACTGAAAGGATTATTTCTGTGTATATTAACCATAGTGTTTTTTTATGAATTCAGAAGAAAACTACTCTCCTGTCGATTGCTAACCTTGAGTTTTTGTGCTCTTTTTCTAATTCTTACAGTTATCTAATTTCAACACTAGAACAGGGGTTTATTCACGTTTATTACATGATCCAGCTGATAATTATAGTAACAACGGCGCTCAAAATTGTCTATTTTTTTTTTACATTGATCACTTATCAGCAAATACAATTTATCATTGAGTAAATTGCTGTCTGACGTTTTGATACTAATTGTTAGCCTATAATTTATACACTGAATTGTGTTAATGTTCTTCTTCACCTTATTACAGGTGACGTAAATATAGTTAATAATGACATCAGATCACTTATTTAAAAAGGTACTAAAATAGGGAACCTCGATCCTTCAACTGGCATCGGAATTTCATAAATATTGTGGATTCTGTTGACAATTACGTCAGACGATGGATCAGATATTGATACTTTGTCAGAATGGATAAAATGTATCAGATGCATGTTTAAATCACATATTTAAAGATTGGGTGACAATAGGAAAACTATCTATCCTTCTGTATACAATAATCCATAAGTGAAAAAGGAATTAAGATAGATTACATGATCAGTATGTTCTGGTCCCTAATGACAAGCTTGCCTTCGTTTGTAAGGCTTATTGCATAAACTGTATTTAAGAACTTGGATTTAATTTTACAAGTGGTAATACAACTTACACTCATAGTTCTCTTTCTAAGGAAGAAATTCTTCAAAATCATATGTAAGATTTGAATACTAGTATTTTTAATATCCAAAAAAAAAAAAAACCAAAATGAATTTAAACTACCATATATATATTGGAGTTCGAAACTTTATGAGAATCCTTCCAAACAGAGATACTTAGCGGGTTCCTGTAAATGTTCCACCAAGCCTTTGTCTTTACTCCTTACTGAAATATTAACAATAGTTAAGGAGAAACTTCAAGAGTACTGTTCAACAATATATTCAAGAAGCGGTATAAATCAGATATGAATACTTAAAAATTCCACGGAACTTTTGGACAATTTGAAATCACAGGATTTCCTCACAATCAGCAGCTTGAAAACTTTCGACTTTTCAACTTGATACACAAACATTCCCAAAGATAAATTAAAGTCCAGGCTCTTTTATATCATTAACGATTGCTTTTTCAATAAAAATGGAACGTGTAAATTTACTTACCTTGTCATTGGCCACTTGCAAACCTATTTATATATTCATATGAAGCACAATTTGTGCAAAATCTTATGCGTATAAAGAAGAAAACACTTGCTGTGGCCTTCAACTCGATATTTAGGTATATCGATTGATTGATTGATTGTATACTGTTTAACGTCCCTCTCCAGAATATTTCACTGATATGGAGACGTCACCATTGCCGGTGAAGGGCTGCAAATTTAGGCCTATGCTCGGCACTTATGGCCTTTGAGCAGGGAGGGATCTTTATCGTGCCACACCTGCTGTGACACGGGGCCTCGGTTTATACGGTCTCATCCGAAGGATCGCCCCATTTAGTCGCCTTTTACGACAAGCAAGGGGGTACTGAGGACCTATTCTAACCCGGATCCCCACGGGGCAGGTATATCGATGACGTAGTCAATTAATAATGGGAATTTCCATTCCTATGTCTATACGATATATCCTGGTGAACTTTCATGCTTTCATACTTAGATATTTTACTTGAAAAAGACCTTAATGGCAATCTAAGAACCAAGCTCTTTGATAAACGTGATTACTTTAACTTTTCTATCGTCAACTTTCCTTACTTATGCAGCAATATACCTTCGCCACCTGCATACGGAGTCAATATATCTCAGTTGATTCGATATGCAAGAGCATGCTCTACGTATGAAAAATTACTAAAACGAGGTAAATTATTGACAAACAAGTTAATGAATCAAGAATCTTAGCAGTCTCAATAAAAGTCATTATTTCGTAAATTCTATGGTATACAATGACCTTGTCAGCAAATACAATTTTTCATTAAGTCAAATGCTGACTGTCGTTTTTCATACTAGATGTTAGTCCGTTATTTATACACTGAATTGCTATACGTTTTTTCCCGATCATGACAAGAGCACACGGCGGGTGTTACCGGTCGACAGGGGATGCTCACTCCTCCATGGCACCTGATTCCATCTTCGATGTCCTCGCTTACTTTAAAAATCGATTGCACTCAGAGCAAGCAGCATAGTAGGATATTTTCAATAGCGAGGAGTCAATCAATTTCCTCTTACCGTAAATCTGTACTGTCGGTTTAGGAGTGACAATCAGTTTCATAATTGTGTTATCTCTCGAATGTTGTTATTCCAAGATCATCGTCGGATGCTAAGACGTGAAAGTCAAAGGTATAAAGAAATATTTCAAATGAGGGCTATGTACAAAAAGTAAAAATTAGCAAAAAAATTGACTGATTAATATCATTTACAATTTTCATGTATGTGCATTTACCATTTCCCTGATTTTCGTCCTCGTGTAGAAATCGGCGGATTTCATAGTGTCAGCAAATAAAAAGCCGTCGCTGTTACTATATAATTCGCTTGTTGATTATTATAAACTACCGAATACTATTCTTAAAGCGACATAATGCATAAAATACAAAAGATATTACCCGAAATTGCAGTTTTTTTGTTGTAGTTCTTGTTTGTGTAGTGGATGTAATGGTGTAGTTGTTTTTTGTGGTTATTGTTGTTTGTAGAGTTTCTGTTAGTGTGGAGCTTTTTCTAGGTTTAAGGACATATGCAACGTAGTTTGAACTTTTTTGTGTTTTCCCCTGGAGTTGAAGAGTTCCATTCTTTAAGGAACGTTTGCTAAATTTTATATCTATATATGCTGTTGTACACTTCTAAAACAAATCTGGATAAGCAAAACATCTATCTTTTTAAAAATTATTTTTCCTTCAATTTTACAAGAATTTTCATCGATAGATATCTTTTCAAAACCCTGGTAATGCACGTTGATTTTTGTCTTCGAACATCTGATGGCTGATTATCTTTAAATAAGAATATCTTGAAAAATTATAGGTAGGTAACGTACGTTGCGCATGTCCTTGATCGTTGTTAGCGTACCATTGTTACATGTAAATGTACGTAATGTAGTGATGGTGTTGTTTGTAGTTTTTCTGCAGTGTTATATTTTTGATGAAGTTTTTCTTTTGTTTATCTAATGCTGTTAATGTTGTAGTTGTAGCAATAGGATTTTTTGGCGTAGTGATACATAACCTTTTGTTTTGCTTTTGTTGTTTCTTTTGCTGTAGCCGTTGTTGTAGATGTTGCGTTTGGTGGTGTAATAACCTTTTCCTGTGTTCTTTAAATTCTCTGTAGTCGTTGTTGTTGTTGTATCTGTTGGTGTAATAATCTTTGCCCGTTTACTTGTTATTCTTGTCGTAGCCATCGTTGTCGTGGTGCTTGGTGTTGTAGGTGGTGTAAAAACCTTTTTCTGCCTACTTGTTATTCTCACCGTAGTCGTTGATGGAATTTTTGATGTCGTTGTAGATACCATTGTTGTTTTGCTTCCCTGATCACATTGTTGTCCAAAATAATTTACTGAACAAGAGACTGTCAGTGTTAATTTTATCCTAGTTAATGGAAAATACAATATATGTTTTAAAAAATAAGGTATCATATATTTGTAAACATTTATGGAGCTATAAATACGAGTTGGTCACGAGATCAAATACCATAAAGCCATTCTGGTCTCGTACCAACTTGTATTCATAGCCAAACATATGTATCTAAATGATACCTTATTGCTTATAATTACATTTGTGACGTTCATATTTTATATTTGTTCACACGTGAAATGTTTTATTATATTACTTATCAGCATGAACGTAATCCGTTAATTGCGTGTCTACCCTTTATTACGTCACTGAAAAACTTTATGACACGATGAACCTGTATCTATACGGTTATATATACACACTACTTTCAATATTTTTTTATAAAGGGAAACATTTGTAAATGTAAATATAAAGTGATAATTAACATAAAGGTTTTGCCTTCCTTACATTATCAAAAGTGATCAGGATTGTTTAAGGTAGGTCGCGGGTTTACTGCATAAAAATTCTTAAGAGAAAACATATCCTGAAAATTTGATGTAATGTTCCTTAGAATTTACTGCGTATTATCTGAAATTTTTATTAAATTTGTCTACATAGTTTTAATGTTATGTTACTGTAAACACGGTATAGTTTTTAGTACCTTTTTATGCTTTACTATTGAAACATATGGATAAATGACGCTTTTAAGCCAATTATGTGGAAAGAGTTTCTTTTAAAAAGTTTGGATAACTTTTTAAACACGTAGAATGTTTCAGGAATTTCAAAATATCAAGATGAGGTAAAACCAAAACTCAAATTTGCAATGAAATTTTGCATTGGGTTTTCTATTAACTTGACTTTGCCCTAACGATAATACAGGAATTTTGAAATATAACTCAAACTTGCAATGAAAGGCAATATGAGTTAAAAATGTAATTATAAGCAATGAATCATTACATTTATTTCTTGAAAGATATTGTCTTATAACTGCAACAGAGTGTTCAAACAAATTTTCATAACGCACTAGCGCACATATTTCAATTTGTTTGCACATACCGTTGCAGTTATTAGACTATATCTTTCAAACAATAATGATTCATTACTTAAGGTAGGTCGCGGGTTTACTGCATAAAAATTCTTAAAAGAAAAGATATCCTAAAAATTTGATATAATGTTCCTTAGAATTTACTGCGTATTATCTCTAATTTTTATTAAATTTGCCTACGTAGTTTTAATGTTATGTTATTGTAAACGCGGGCTAGTTTTTAGTACTTGTTTACGCTTTACTATTGAAACATATGGAAAATGACGTTTTTAAGCTGTGGAAAGAGTTTCTTTTAAACAATTTGGATAACTTTTTAAACACGTAGACAAATTAGTCAGGAATTTCAAAATATTTCAAAATTTCAAAATATCAAGATGAGATAAAACCAAACCTCCATTATTGATTCCATTGAAATATAGCATCCAATCGATGAGTAAGATGAAAATCAGCACACAAAATTTTGGCACGCCCAATCAAGCGAACTGTCACGCAGTTAGTAAAATGATAATATTTGGTAAAACGTATTCAATCAACAAATGGTCAGTTGATCGTGGTAAGCTCCTCTGTGCGCATTAATAGCAATAGCCATATAAGGCAAACAAAGGTTTGTCAGTGTAGATGATATTATACACTTTGTATCGTTCGCTAGTGAGCTGTTATTTTTGCAGTAAACTATAATAAGATGCATTACTTGTTATTTAATCCCCCCTTTTTTAGCCACTGATTTGATTTCTGTTAAAAATCATGAAAATCATTCAGAAAGTTCTGGAACACAGGACATGTTTTCAGAAGAAAAAGACTATAGCAATTTCCTGTTTACTGCCAATTTTATTTATAAAACCGGTTGTACCCTATAACCTTTGAATAGGTAAACCTAAACCACGTGTCTTGAATTTAAATCACAATAACATTAGTAGGGGTGCGGTATGTGCAAAAAAATCTTTCAAGAAATACATGTAATGCTTCATTGCTTATAATTACATTATTAACTCATATTGCCTTTCATTGCAAGTTTGAGTTATATTTAAAAATTCCTGTATTATCGTTAGGGCAAAGTCAAGTTAATAGAAGAACCAATGCAACAACTTTCGTTCTGAAAAGTAGTGTGATATTTGATTTTCGTTTAGGGCGTTGCACTTCTTCGGCGTTTAACATTTGTGACGTAAAGATAAATCGTAATCTTTAACTTTTTGACCCCGTTTGTGTTATGGTGTTTTAAATACCGTAAATTTCCACACAATTTATATGAAAATACAAGTGTTATGTAAATATATAGATTTAAATTCGCATCATCTCATACGCACTAACTCATAACACACATTACACACTTGCACACATCTTCACCCCTCCCCCCACGCACACACGGAGAGATAGAAACTGACCATAGACTTTTATTTCCGGGTCGTGTGGTGACCGTCAATCCCTCAGTTGTATTCCCTCTGTACATGTAGCTTGTCACGCCCAGATAATCATTTTTACCGGTAACATCGTAGTCGTAAGCGTAAATTGATAGTTGAAAGGACGGCTACGTAAAACAGGAGGCCCATGGGCCACATCGCTCATCTGAGCACATGGGCTAGTTAAAAAAAAAACACAAATCAGCTCAGTATTGAAAAGTTTACTTGTTGGGGGAGGGGGTTGAACTTTTTTATTACTTCATAATGCACTATATCAATAAAGCTCAATAATATCAACATGTATAATTTCGCCATGATTGAGAAGAATTTTAAAACTTTTTCCTATATATTTCAATGTAAAGATTTGATTGCCCAACATAACCCCACCTTACTCCCAGGGGTCGTCATCATATGAACAAACATGAATTAACTCTAACTGAGGATGTTTCCATATTATTATCACCAATAATAGCTTTGCTAATTTTGAGTAGAAGATTCTTAAAGATTTTTCCTATATATTCCAATGTAAAAGTTTGATCAGCTATTATGGCTCCGCCCTACCCCCGGGGGTCATGATTTAAACAAACATGAATCTACCCTACCTGAGGATGCTTCCACATGAGTTTCATCTTTCCGGGCCCAGTGGTTCTGGAGAAGATTTTTCATGGCTTTGCTATTCTTGATCTGATGATTTTTAAAGAATTTCCTTTATATTCCTATGTAAAATTTTGATCAGCCATAGTGGCCCCGCCCTACCCCCGGGGGTCATGATTTGAACAAACTTGAATCTACACTACATGAGATTGCTTCCACATGAGTTTCATCTTTCCTGGTCCAGTGGTTCTGGAGTATAAGATTTTTAAAAGATGCCATTAATTTTTCATTAATTCATAATTATCTCCCCTTGGAAGAAGGCTTGGCCCTTCATTTGAACAAACTTGAATTCCCTTCACCAAAGGATACTTTGTGGCAAGTTTGGTTGAAATTAGCCCATTGGTTCTTGAGAAGAAGATGAAAATGTGAAAAGCTTACGACGTCGACGACTATAACGACTACAACAAGAAGCCCATGGGCCACATCGCTCATCTGAGCACTGTAACTTGAAAAAAACAGAATCAATTTATTTTTGAAAAGTTTAAACCCAAAAGTGGTCCCAACCAATCCTTAAAGGGGAGAGGGTATGATTTGAACACACTTGAATCTACACTGAGGATGCTTGCATATTTCTTTGACTACCTTGGCTTCTTTCTTGTCCTTTACATTGTGGCCCCACCCTACCACCAGGTGTCATGATTTGAACAAACTTGAGTCTACACTTCCTGAGAATGCTTACATATTAATATGACTGAACATGGTTTTGCCATTTTTGAAAAGAAGATTTTTAAAGAATTTTTCTACATGTTTCTATGTAAAACTTTGATTCTATGTTGTGACCCCGCCCTACCCACGGGGGACATGATTTGAACAAAATTAAATTTACACTACCTGAGGATGCTTACATATAAATATGATCATTCATGCCTTTGCTATTCTTGACAAGAGGATTTTTAAAGAATTTTTCTACATATTTCTATGTACTTTTGACTGGCCATTGTGGTCCCGGAGTCCCCAGGGGTCATGACTTGAACACACCTAAATCTTCACTACCTGAGGATGCTTCCATATATGAGCGCGCTTCATGAAATATGCCTACTTGACAAGTCTGTGTGATTCACACACCAATAACTCACACAAAACTTAAAAACATTCCTTAAATGACATGCAGTCGGTCACATGATCAGATTTAAAGCAAATAGCGCGAGACATTTGGAAAGTCTTGAGTGTGACGTCATATGACGTCGTATATATACGTTACGTTGCATTTCAATAACAAAGTCTAAATAGTGCATTTTTTCTTTGTAATGTGAATAGAAATAAAAATTTAAATATTAGAAATAAAATATCATTTTTTAGAGTTTATTTTTGAAATATGTAAAACTCTAAAAATCATATCTTATTTCTTAAGTAATACATTGATCGGCCATTGTGTCCCAGCCCTGCCCTGGGGGTCATG